CTGATTATCATCCAAAAAATATCTCTGCATTAACCATATCAGAGGACAGTTTAACCTGAGTTAATATAATATGATCCAAAGTAAATGTATGAAAATGGAAAGAAATGGACACAGTTAAATATAAAGAGAGTTAAGATTTTAGATCAGTTTCTTGCCTACATTTTTTTTTTTCCAAGAGGTTTCAGGGGCAATGCCATTGGAAATACATAACAGCAACAGTGGTAATAGCTATAGAGAGATTCCTCCCTAACGGAAAGAAAGGGATGGATGACTGAGGAGGTGTTTATACCTCCTTTTCTCAGCAAACTAAATATTAGACAGTATTGCTGTATGTTCTCCACAAATGGAATTTTCTAGGGAAAAAGCATAGGAAGTAAATATATTCTTAAACAATTAAAAACAAACTTTGAAAATTTGTGATTTTATTCTTATTTGAAAATCTGAAAATACATTTGATGTGCAACATTATTCTAGTAGGTACACTATTGCTTAAAGTTGTACCTATGCTTTGTACCAGCTGATGTATGTTTTCAGATTTTCTGGTTTATCTCACTTGGTTTTTAAAAACAGCTAAGCTCTTTCATTTTAAACTCTCTGAAGGCTTCTTTTTTTCCTTAGTTGGAGGAGATTTTTTTGATTTTTAGTAGAGATAGGGGACTCACTATGTTGCCCAGGTGTTACTGGAAAAGGGGTCCTGATCCATACCGCAGGAGCTTGGATGTTGCACAAGAAAGAATTCTAGGCGAATCTATAGAGTAAATTGAAAGCAAGTTTATTAGGAAAGTAAAGGAATAAATAACAGCTGCTCTATAGGTGGAGCAGCAGTATGGGCTACTCGACTGAGTATATTGTTCTTTCTTGATTATATGCTAAACAAGGGGTGGATTATTCATGAGTTTAGGAAAGGGTGGACAGTTGCCACTGAGGGTTCCTCTTCCTTTTAGACCATATAGGGTAACTTCCTGACATTGCCATGGCATTTGTAAACTTCCGTGGTGCTGGGAGGAGTGTCTTTTAGCATTGCTAATGCATTATAATTAGCATGTAATGAGCAATAAGGACGAACAGAGATCACTCTCATCACCATTTTGGTTTTGGTGCGTTTAGGGCTGCTTCTTTACCACATGCTTTTCTATCAGCAAGGTCTTTGTGATCTGTATCTCATCCTGTGACTAGTAGGCCTCAGCCCTATTTTACCCAGCCCCTATTCAAGATGGAGTCCCTCTGGTTCGAATGCCTCTGACACAGCCTGATTTTAACGTTCTGGGCTCGAGCAATCCTCCAGCTTTGGCCTCCCAAAGTGCTAGGATTACAGGTGTGAGTCACCACACCAGGCCTGTATCAATAAATTTAAATAAGACTGTATTTTGCTTCCAGTGTTAAAAATGAAGTAAGACTTTAGACAGGACACTAAAGATCATTTCATCACATAAAGATTATTTTTATCCTCTTGGATATTATACTAATTGCTTTTTTGCATTCTGGCATTTTACTTTGAAATATTTTGTTTTTTAATTATTGAAAGACCAATTGCATGAAAAGAATAATTACTAAATCTCTAATATGCTAAGCATGTTCCTGACTTTTATAAAAAGTCAGAATAATGAATAAGTGCTTTTCTTGTACTATGAGAATGTAAACCAAAAATAAAAATCTAAGCCCTCCTCCCCCAGTTGATTGAATGGACCCCTGCCCTTAGCCAAAGCCATTCCAAAGATACATGAGAAACTCGTTCAGGCCATGATGGGAAGGGGGTTTGGTTATGCCTCATTATATTCTTTGTTGGAACTCAGGCATAACTGATTAGCATTAACATTAAAACAGATATTTAAGACTGACAAAACAGACTCTTTGTAGCAAAGGATACCACATTCCAGCCTGACTAATATAGCAAAACATGACGGATAGCAGGCCCTGAAAGAAATCAAAGTATTTTACTGCAAGATACGTTTCTTTGACACATTTTGAAATGGCCCTGCAAAGCTGTCTCTTCTGGGGGAAATTTACATTCAGTAGAGAATTGCCTTCCCTTTTGCTGGTCTTTGTCTGATCCTGAAGAGATTACCTGAGAGTATAGCACCTTTTAAAGGCTTGAGTAGGACATATTTGCCATCTTTTGTCCCTAAGGGCAGCCACCTATGAGACTTTATTTACGTAGTAAGAACCTTGGTATCCACAACCCCTGTCTTAACCCAGACACTCCTTTCTGTTGACTCCAGATCTTATATAATAATTTAACTCTTTCAACCAATTGCTAGTCAGAAAATCTTTGAATTTGCTTATAACGCCTTCCCCTGCTTCAGGTTGTCCTGGCTTTCTGGACCAAACCAGTGTATACCTTACATGTATTAACTGATGTCTTATGTCTTCCTAAAATATGTAAAACCAAGTTGTAACACTTTCGGCACATATCCTCTGGACCTCCTGAGGCCATGTCACTGGTTATGGTCATCACATTTGGCTCAGAATAATCTCTTCAAATATTTTACAGAGTTTTTTCCATCAACTGTAATCATGAGGAAAATAGGATATGTTGAAATGAGATTCAGTGGGAAATTTGGCTTCGTTTTCATTTGCTCATGAACAGGACCTTCCAGAAATGTTGATGCAGCAGAAGTAAAAGATATATTATTCCGGCCGGGCGCGGTGGCTCAAGCCTGTAATCCCAGCACTTTGGGAGGCCGAGG